CCCCCAACACACCACCCCCCTCTATAACTGCAACAAAAGATACACCTACGTACATAACTAGAACCCTGAATATATATATTGATGAACAAACATTTACATCGCACAACAAACAACTTGCAATGCACATCATTAGCTGAACATGGTGATTTATTTGTGTGTATGTGCACACGAGAAACTGAAAGCAACGCACATGTTCAGGGCTCGGATTTTTTCGGTTGTTGTTGTTGTTGTTTCTGTTTCATGTTGTTGTTTTTTTTTAATTCTCTCGTTGATGATGATTATAATGATTAACACCATAGTTTCTATCCAAATTTTCGTTTTTATACAATAGATCGATTTTTTTGAGTTTTTCTTTTTCTCTTGTTCACTAATCTCAAAATCACAATGACATTTCTGCTTTTTTTTCTCTAGAATTCATTCTATATGTACAAGTCTTAAGTGTTCCTGTGTTATCCGATCATTTACACATTTTATCATATGCAGTTGGTTGTTGTTTTCGGGTTGGTTCTTAGAAATTATTCATCGCAATAAATGTCAACGATCGCTGAATGACCCGAAAAGAAAAACTTAATATTCATGCTCTGTTCGCGCGTAATTCCTGTCTCAGCAATTGTTGAGCGTGATTTTGTTCTTTTTATTCGGTGTTTTTTTTTTTTCAATACGCTTTGGTCTTCTTTCGACTTTTTTTTGTGCTTCGGTCGGAAACAAAACGATAAATATGAATTTTCGCACACTTGTATAGAAGAAAAAAGACAAAGAAAAATGTTTGCATTAAAAGAACACAAAGTGCTAGTGATGGCAGAAAATGAAAAGTTCGACAGTGTTCAATTAATAATCTGCTTTCAGAAAAACATGCTCGCACTCGTTCACGCACGCACGTATCCCTCTTTCTCCCTCTCAACGACAATGAACTCACTTGATGAGGGTGACAATGGTGAGTGTAGCACTTTTTTTTTCCGTTGCATTCATTAGCAAAAGAATGACGCACGAGCTGGAGGAAACAACCAAATACACGCACACAAAGAATTGTCTCTATAAAAGATAAATGATCCAAATTGATGATAATAATATGAATTTGCATAATTTGTTCCCTTTTTTTTCGCTCCATCGTATTGACGTTGCATCATAATCGGTTTTTGATTCATACTTTATATATGCTGTACGAGTACATTGAAACAGCCAACGAGCAAATAATATTTACTTCATGTTTTTGATGTTTATGGATCCTGTTCGATGTTTTCTTTTCCCATTTTTTTTTTCGTCCTCATTCTGATGAACGGTTTTTGATTGTGAACAGACTCGTTGCTAATTATGCGGTTTCTTTCGTCGAAAAGAAAATTACACAAATGATTTATATGGGTACACGTACAGTGTGCTGTCGACGTCTAATTCAAGCCTTCACAAGCTCAGTCATGCCATCAGAAAAAAAAAATCAATCGGCTCAAATGCATATTAAAAGTAATGACAATGTATTGAGAGCCGATTTATATGCTCCACAATCGCACACTTTTGGAATTCGTGGTGTCACACAATGCAGCGGGTTGCGTGCGGTTTTTTCTTCTCTGGCGATTTGCTATCAACATGTCAAATTTGATTAATCACATTGCTCAATGGTTTGCCGATTGTCTGTGGAATTCGATGCGAATCGCTCGCAGCGCACAATGAGCAAATGTGAGAAAGACGGGAATGCGAGAGAAAGAGGGAGACGGGTGAATATTTCCTTCCAGCCTTTTCTCAGTGTATGGTATCATTCGCGCAGTCTTTTTCTTTCACTTGATTGTTTTTTTTTTTTTTTTTTGATTTTATTGACATTTTTCGATTGATGTAGTCCTTTTTTCTCTCTCTCCCTCTCCTTCTCCTTTCGTCTGTTTTTCCGTTCTGAGGAAAATGTACAACCATTAGCTCGTGTATTGAATGTCACCGTTCAAAACAATCGAAATAAAATGATTTGAATGAAATAGAATGTTTACTCAATTGAATAAAAGAAAAAGTATATGCACAAACACAAAATGGTCATATATTTGTCAATCGATTCCGAAGGTTCCGTTGATATTGTGCTTATTTTTCGGTCGATTGTAATTTTTCAGATGAATATGATGTGTGCTTTTGCATCATATTCTCGGTGTGTGTGTTTTCTTTTCGCTTTTGCCACAGCAAAATGATTACAGCCCACGGAATTGTCGGTAATTTGATGCCCATCAGACCAGCAAACAGGCAATATTTAAGAATCCATTGCAACGGCAATCGTTGACACTCTTCTTACTTTCTATACGTTTAATGTTTTCTTTGTTTTCCTTATTCTTTTGTTTACAATTCAATGTACAAAACGGGGGAGGAAAATGCGTGAACCGCAATTATCACTTGCACTCTGTTACCATTCGTTTTTTTTTAATCAGAGGTCGATCTCAATTGGCAAAGCCGCATCCGGCATATTCCAATTTCAAAATATTTTCTTGATTTAAATATATACTTGTTATGTTGTTGTTGTTGTTGTTGTTGCTGTTGCTCTGCTTAAACTTCTATACACTCAATGTTTTCATCCTAAGTTACGATAAATAAAGTTAAATTTAATCGTCGTCAAACACAAGTCGTATTATTTAAATTAGTTATGCGAGTCATTTCGAGGCGCGACAGACGCTTATTGAAAAATACAGATTTAAAACTGGTGCGAAATTGTTTTGACATTAGACCATAGAGAACGAATCCAACGGCCGCATTGATTAGAGCCAATAAATCCATCATTTCACCAAATGGTATGTAGCATTTTTGGAAAAAGCACGTCTCCAACACTCCACTTAATAGTCCCAATATGCCTTGTGGAAATTCGGTGATCAGAAATAGCATTAGCACGGCAACGAGAAGCATTGTCGTTCGATCCGTACGTCGCTGGCACTTTGATGGTCTGCGTTTGGTCATTCGTTGTTGTTGTTTTTTTTTGTGGGTGGGTATTGTTGTTCGTTTCCAATTTAGTGTCATCAATATTCAGCATCGACATGTAAGCAGATAAATGAAGTAATGATTAAAATGTGTACCGCTCAAAAGCTGGATGGATTCAGTCGATGCCAAATCGCATTAGTAACTAGGAAAAAATGTGGACGACGATGTGAGTCGTAGGGCGAGTAAAATTTGCATCGAAAATCTTTGCTCAAACTGAATGTAATATGGAATCAAGAGCTCGAAAGCTGATTTCTTTCCAAAAAAAGGTTAAAAGACTTTAAGAGATGCAATTTCAAAGTGAAATTGAATCATTTAAAATTAAATTGTAATAATCAATTTATTCGAGAAAAAAAAACCAAAAAAAAAACATTCACAAAAAATACGTCCGTTCTATTTTCCGCCAAATTTTCTTCTTCTTTTTTTTCCACATCAAGCCATCATCCAGTTTGGGTTGGAAAAAAAATGCACTTATACGTAACAAAGGCAAGTAGCCACCATGGGGAGCGAGCTTATCGGTCGTATATTGTAAGACGCGCATTGAGAGATTTTACGATGCAAATAAAGATAATTGAGCCAATGTGTATTTTTCAACCAATTACCTGTGGCCATTTAAAACGGTATTTATATTGGATGCACTGGCTGTCGCTTGATTGTATCCCTTGAGTTTAACTTTACGCTTTGCCGCCTGACAAAGCACTCGAATCAATATAAAACTAATTACCGTCAATACCAAACAAGGCAGCAATTTTATTATCACGCTGAATAGCCAAAAGTTGATACTGGTTGGGTGTTGGTGTTGGTCGATCGCGAGATAAAAAGAGAAAGATAGAGAGACAAAAGAGAAATGTGATGAACAATATGAAAAACCGGCATTTCAAATAAATTGAAAAGAATTACTCGCTTTTGCTGTTGTGAGTGATGCTGTTGTTGCTGCTGCTGCTGCTGCTGTTGTAAATTTTCCGTATTGCAAGCGCTTGTGCAAAATCATTGTTCAAAATGAATGCAACAATAATAATAACAGCAGCAGCAGAAACAGCAGAAAAAAGCACTGGGGGGACATAATGAATTTCGTTTGATGGTTAAAATGGGTTTCGTGTCACCTGCTGAGAGTGTAAATGTTTTTGCCGCAAGCGATTTGAAGCGCTACGTATTGTGTGTATTAAATTGAATATTGGCACGTCTTTCGCAAACACCGATCCAAAACCATCCTCCGCACCAAAAACCCAAAATACGAAATTCACCAAAATCACCCAAAACAATTCATTGTCGCGTGTGTTGCCACCATCATTTTGCATTTCCACCAAACACACACACACACACACACACACTCACAAAGAGAGGAACGACAACGACAAATTGTGAATTTAAGCTTGATTTATTTAACGAATCACACAAAATGAACAATACACCGGTGACGAGCGAGAGACAAACGGAAAAATAGAAACAAAACGACACAAAAATCAAAGAAAGAATGAATGGAAGAGACAAGAATAAAAGTGAAATCAAATCATTTTCACACGCCATTTGAATTGCTGGGTGACGGAAGATGGGATCGTGTGCACGTTTCTGATTCCAAGCAAAATACATGTGCTCCAAATAGATAAATAACGTAATTATTTTAACGGCGCTGCGAAAATTTGCGATGCTCTATGTCTTCATCATTAAAATTCGGCGCTTTTGACAAAATCCATAAATCCGAAGAGAGATTCGTTTGGAGCGAGCGAATGAGTGAGTGTCAGAGACAAAATAAAATGTCAAACGACATTTCTATGCGGTGATATTAATATTGCGTTTCGTCGTGGTTGCACGTCATTCACATAATAAATTGAATTTCATTTGTGCTTTTTTGCACTGTGCACGAGTCATAGATAGAAAATAGCGAAAAGAAAGTACCCGGCACACTGATAGATATGAATTGAATCATTTGCATAGTATTTTCGCATCAACCACAATTATAATGCAATTAATAATTTGAATCATACACATGCAACACATGTGGCTTACTGTTTTGGTTTGACGTTGTATTTTTCTCTAGCCACACAACACTCTGTTTTAAGGGCATACAATTAATGCCATAGTACTTAAGCGCGACACACGTGGCACGTGCACCCGTGCCAATTACCAGAAATCGTTTCAAACAAAGCGATACGAAGAAAAACGAAGAATAAAACACAATGATAACACACAGAACACCGCATGTGTGTGTATATATATCTTTCTTACCTGTATAGTGTTGTATCCCGTTTAGTGTCCACGTGGTAAGCCACAATGAAACTTGTGTAATTCTCCGACCAAATGCGTTTCTCATTTATGCGAAATACAAAGTATGTCGGCAAACAGAGAATCGGTGCAAGCACAAATGATAACAATATAGCTGCGCCACAATGAGATAAGACACATGACGCAAGCCTACCATGTGGATGCCTGCAAAATTATAAAATAGTTTAAATGTTATCACAGTTTAGATGGTTTTGATTGTTTACGCGCCGCACGTTGTTCTGCTATTGAATTGTGTTGATGAACTTGACATTAAACAGCAAATGATTTTGGCATTGGCCAAAAATAGGCCAATCACCATCCGGCGTTACATTGACTCCACCGAATTTTGCGACGATTAAATGCCGAGCAATAATCCAGTTGTGTATGTGTGTTGTCACTTTTGACAATTACATAACAAACAATGAATTTGGCGTTCAGCGCTGGCAAATTCGATTGCTGTCGATTCGATTAATTAACTCTCATTACGAAACGGCATCTGGATGAAATCTCAGCCGTGCCACGTTTCAATTCGAATCGAATCGAGTCGATTTAGAATCGAAGCGGTTGCACGTATGAGCATCATCTAATTTGTTCAATCTGGCTGAGAGAAATTAGAAAAATGAGAGAGAGAGCCAAACGGAGTGTCAGAGAGAGAGATAGAGAGAGAGAGATGCGTATCTACATGTTGGTCGCTGCACTAAATTGATGATGCCAATTTAAATCAGTTGTGGCGAAATGGTGTTAGAATCAATTTGCTGGCGCAAATAAAATGGAAACACACACACACGCGCGCGTCTCGTGCATTTACCAACAATGAAACAAACGAATTCAATTATGTGCACGATGCACAAATTAGGAATCCATGTATGTGCTTATGCCATCAATAATAGAATAATTAGCAACGGATTTCAAAGAATGGATAAACATCGCCCAACACTTTTTCAGAATGGAATATTCATGAAATCCAAGGGAGAATGATCGTTGATTATTGTTAGCTAATCAATAATGAAATGCGTTAAAATGTGCTCAATTTTAGCTATTGAACTTCTTACTCTGATCTCAATTTGTTGCCGCGCTGTCCTGCATTTCATTACAACAATTGGTGCCAATTGAGGGCGCCAATCCTAAACTTCAAACAAGCAACAGAGTACACGGTAGTGGTGATGGAAAATGCGTACATTCACATCTATCTCTCTTCCTCTGCTAGAAAGAAACCATTTAAATACGTGCAGCTAATTGATTATTTAACATTTATTCAATTCAAAGGGTCATGTTTGTCAAGCTATCGCCTTTGATGGCACTGCACTGAATACACATTACACACGCACATACACCACCATTACCGACCTCGATCAGCTTAACGAATCTGATTGAAATTGACTGTAATGTAAATGTACGATGAACTTGGGCTGCCATCAACTGAATAAAGTGATTTCGACATGAAATTGTTGTATTGCGAACAAGTTATACAGAGAGAGAGAGAGAGAGAGAGAGAGAGAGAGAGAGAGAGAGAGAGAGAGAGAGAGAGAGAGAG